AGGGTCCTCGCTGTGGAGACACGTCCCTAAATAAGGAAGGTTTGGACCTTAGGCTTCCAAAGCAATGGAAATGTCCACTAAACTGACTGAAAGTGTTCTGAATCATTGCTCCAGAGAATAGCCTTCTGTAGAATTTTTAAAATATAAATAAGATCAATTCCTGGCTGTCTGAAATGGTTTAGATAACAGTTCCTCCATGAAGCAGAGATGGATTGAAATATAATATGTTCTTGCACAGCTATCATCTCCTGAAATGCTAGAAATACCTTCGTGTCAATGTCTTATCCTAAGAAGCCTGAGAGCTGGAATCTAGAATTACAATTCTTTTTTTTTCCCCTCAGGATCTTGCTACAAAGAATATGGTAAGGAGTTGCATTTCCTCCCCCAAGTCGGCTGTCTCCATTTGTAACTGATACTACATACAGCAGGGAAGCATCTGTGTTTCAGAAAAATGATGTGTGAAAACAGTTTTCAAAAATGCATGCTTTCTACATTAAAAAAAAAACTAAAAATATGTTTGGTTACCACTTTGTAGAGCCTATTGAATTTGGCTGTGAATGGGAATCTAATTGCCATCCGTTTCTATTGGAGCCTTCTATGAACATGACATTTCCATTAAAAAGAGAAGTCAGCTATAGCATTATGGTGTGTATGCTGAAATTGTAAAAAAAAAAAAATTAAGGACTAGTTGGTTGTTTAATAATTTATATTTCTTCTTTACAGCCCATTAGAGGAAATAAGCAAAGCCACAGGTATAGAAAATATCATTCATGTTGGCGAAGGTAAAAGGAACATTCTTACTGAAGTGTTACCAATAGCTCCCTGGTTTTGAATGATGACTACTGATTATTCTCCTGTTTTTCATTTATAACCGGAGAAGATCTTTGTCACCTGCTCTTGTTACTGTGGGACTTGCACCACAACATTACCACTTGCAGGGCTGAATTTGAGGGCTGAGGGACCCACAGCTTGGGTTAGAGTGGCCAGATTTAAACCGCACTTGATGCAGAAATATCTGTTCATTGCTCCATGCACGGCAGGAAAAAATAATATATTTTCCTAAACTTGGTAGCTTGATATTCGTGAGCAGCACCCCTTCTCCTTCTCTTTCTAGCTTTTCTTTTTCAGTAATTTGACGAGCAGTACCCAGTTGTTGAGTTGGACAGTCTGGTTTTAATGATTTTGTTTTTTTCCTTTGGTGAGCCCTTGGCCAAGGGAAGGTGCTATTCCAGCAGTGCAGATAATAAGATTTACGGTTAATAAGGTAAAAGCACACAATGATGCCAGATTAATATTTTTCAAGCACTGTTCCAATTAACATCTGCCCTTATGAATGTAATGTCTCTAACTTCCACCCTAATTGAGTCCAGAGTTCTACCCCTGGACTTCAAGAGTCTTCACTTTATGGTCTCTGCCTATCTTCTAATGTTTCATTCTACTATTTCCCTATATGAACACTATAGACCAGCTCAGTGGTTTTCAATCCAGGCTGCACATCAAAATTACACAGCGAGCTTTTTAAAAAATGCTGATGCCCAGGGCCCACTGCATGCTAACTGAATATGAATCTGGGGGTGAAGCATAAGGCATCAATTTGGTTTTTCTGTTTTTTTTTGGAGTTTTTAAAAGCTCCTTATTCTGGTCATCTATTGTTGCAAAACAAACTACTCGAGACCTATTTGTATAAAACAGATGCCATTTCAGTATGCTCCCAAATTCTGTGGGTCAAGAATTCAGAAGGAACACAGCACTGATGGTGTGTCTCTGCTCTATGATGTTGGGGTCTTGGCTCAAAAACCACAAATGGCTAGGCGTGTCTCAGATAGCTAGGTGCTGGAATCATCTAGAGGCTTCTTTATTCACTTTTTTACGGCTCAGGCTGGGACTCCTCAAAGGCTGGGCTCAGCTGGTATTGTTACCCAGCAGGTCTACATATGCTTCCCAATATAGCCTCCTCAAAGCATGGTGGCTCAAGTAGTCAAATTGCCCCAGATAGCCCAGGAGCAAATATACCCTTGAAAAAGGTAGAATTGTGGGGTCTTTTACATACTTGCCTCAGGAGGCACTTGGCATCACTTCTGCATTTTATTCATCAAAGGAGTCAGGATCCTTCAGGGGAGGGGACCCACTTCTCTATAGGAAGGAAGCACGTCAGTGAATTTGTGGCCACGTTTTAAAAGTTGCCACACATCCTTGGTAAGTCCATTTAGAGCCAGAGTTGAGAACAACTGGATCCATGTCTTGCAAACACTGACCTGCTGAGCAGGCCTGGGACTTGCGTGAGATGAATGAGGCAGCTAGGGTGCAAAATTGAAGAAGGTAGTCACTCTCAGGATCGTGCAAGTGCAAGGGAGCATCTCCTTACATTTTGTGCCCCAGGTGCTTTCCTGGCCTCATCCTGGTCCTGGCCCTGCTACAGAGCACCTGTATATGAATCACGAGTGGGAGCAGGATCTAGATTCCTGAGTCTCATACTTTGATATTCTGATTCAATAAGCCTGGAGTAGGGACTGGGATTCTGTATATTTTCAAAGAATTCCAGTGGACTGATTACAGATTCCATGTGCTTTCCTGGTACCATGCCTTTGCTCAGGCTGTTCCCTCTACCTTGAACATCTTTTCCTTCTATTTCAAAGATTTTTTATTTATTTATTTATTTGAGACAGAATGAGAGAGAGAGAGAGAG